TCTGTCTCTCATGAATAAATAAATAAAATCTTTAAAAAATAAAATAAAAAAATAAACTTAGAAACTGATCCTGGAGACGCCTGAGTGGCTCAGTCGGTTAAGCGTCCCAACTCTTAATTTTGGCTCAGGCCATGATCTCAGGGTCGGGGGATCTCGTCCCACTGGGTATGGAGCCTGCTTAAGATTCTCTGGGGGCGCCTGGGTGGCTCAGATGGTTAAGCATCTGCCTTCGGCCCAGGTTATGATCCCAGGGTTCTGGGATGGAGCCCCACATCGGATTCCTGGCTCAGCAGGGAGCCTGCTTCTCCTTTTCCCTCTGCCTCTCTCCCTGCTCATGCTCTCTCTCTGTATCTCTGTGTCTCAAATAAATAAATAAAATCTTTAAAAAAAAAAAGTTTCTCTCTCTCCCTCTGACCCCACCCCCCATGCAGGCACGTGTGTGTGCTCTCTCTCTCTAAAAAAAGAAAAAAAGAAACTGATGTTGGAGTAAGTTATTGGAAAACTTGTTTCTTTTTTTTTTGAAAACTGTTGTTTCAAACAACTTGAGCAGGTGAATCTACTTTTGCAAATGTAAATTTCAAGAATTTTAAATACAGGAGAAGTTGTTTGTTTGTTTAAGTAGGCTCCACATCCATTGTAGAACCCAATGCAGGCAGAACCCATGACCCTGAGATCAAGACCTGAGCTGAGACCAAGAGTCAGACGCTCAACTGACGAAGCCACCCAGGTGGCCCTAGAAGAAAAAAAATTTTTTTTATTTTTTTTTAAATGTTTTTTTATTTATTTATTTATTCATGAGAGTCAGAGAGAGAGAGAGAGAGAGGCAGAGGGAGAAGCAGGCTTCCCACTGAGCAGGGAGCCCGATGTGGGACTCGATCCCAGGACCCTGGGATCATGACCTGAGCCGAAGGCAAACGCTTAACCATCTGAGCCACCCATTTTTAAGTAATCTCTGTGCCCAACGTGGGGCTTGAATTCACAACCCCAAGATCAAGAGTCACATGCTTTACTGACTGAGAGAGCCAGGCGCCCCAATTAGTCAAAAGTTTTAAGTGACATGTGTGGTTTTTGTTCTATTTCTATTGGACAGCCTCTCTTTAAGGGCTTTGCATGCATCACTTAAACCTCCAGACAACTCTATGGTAGACTATTATTAGAGTCTTTTGTACAGATAAGGAAACTGAGGCAGAAGAACGAAAAGCAGAAGGCCCAGAATCAAATCTTGGTTCTGTCACTTATGTGCTGGGTGACTTTTGGCAAATTATTTACATCTCTGTGCCTTGGTTTCAGCCTCTATGAAATGGGATAATAATGGCACCAGCTTCGGGGCGCCTGGGTGGCTCAGTCATTAGGCATCTGCCTTCAGCTCGGGTCATGATCCCAGAGTCCTGGGGTCGAGCCCCGCATCGGGCTCCCTGCTCCGCTGGAAGCCTGCTTGTCCCTCTCCCACTCCCCCTGCCTGTGTTCCCTCTCTCGCTGTGTCTCTCTCTGTCAAATAAATAAAATCTTTAAAAAAAAAAATAATAATGGCACCAGCTTCTCAATTAAGTTAATTTGTGGAAAGCCCCAGCATAAGGGCTGTATCACTGAGGCATCATATGTGTGAGCAGCTACTGCAAAAGGTTTCTTGTTAGAACCCTCTGGAGCCCTTGGGGCGCCTGGGTGGCTCAGTCGTTAAGCGTCTGCCTTTGGCTCAGGTCATGGTCCCAGGGTCCTGGGATTGAGCCCTGCATCGGGCTCCCTGCTCCGCGGGAAGCCTGTTTCTCCCTCTCCCATTCCCCCTGCTTATGTTCCTTCTCTGGCTGTCTTTCTCCGTCAAATAAAATCTTAAAAAAAAAAAAAAAAAACCCTCTGGGCCCATCAAGAACCCACTAGGGCCTCCCCATCTTCCTCCCTCCTGGGCCCACCTGCCTCCTGCCTCCACAAGTGTTCCCACGTTCTTTCTTCCATCACTCACCTCCCCGGGCTCCCTGCTGCCCTGGGCAGGAAGTCCCAGCTCCCTTGCTTGGTGTTTGAGGGCTAGATTTTTCACACCCACACTCACACCCACCCCAGGCTCGCTCACGAGAGTTACTGGAACACCCAGAGCTTTTTCACACCTGGAGGGCTTTGCAAAGGTGGTCCTCTCCGCCCACTTCAGGAGGGTTCTCTCCTGGCTTGCAGACTCCTGCAGCCAAATATCTCCCCTGGGGCCCCGAACGCCCCCCAGGTCCCCACTGAGCTCACCCTCTTTCCCTAATCTCCCTGCTCCTCCAGATTTCCCGCTGGGCCAGACCTAGGGTGATCTGTGCCACCTGTCCGAGCCTGTCAATCTCCAGCCCTGTCCTTCTTGATCCCTGACCCCTGACTCTGCCTGTCCCCTCCTCCCTGTCCCCATGGTGCTGGTCCTGGCCCTGACTCAGGCCTTGTCCTCTCTCCTTGGACCCTCACCCAGCCTCCACTCTGTCCCCCCTTTATGGCCCCAGCCCCCCTCCACCCAACAAAGTCCAGGGTTCTCAGCCTGGTGAAGGATTCGCCAAGCTCCACGAGCCACAGGGGCAGCCTGTCCTGGAGACTGGAGATGCAGGTCACCTGTGGTCGCCACAGGGTCAGTGCCGCCCCCGCAGACCTCCCCATGCCCTCTGTCCACCTGCAGACTCAGCTGCTCCCCAGGGTAGGGCGTCCTCCGCCTCCTCCTTCGCCAGTGCAGGCACCAGACAGTGGACATCAGCAGGAGACCCACGGGCAGCAGCAGCACGAGGAGCAGCAGAGAGGCCTGCGGGGCCGGCAGGGCTGTGGCCTCCAAGGCCCCAGGGCTCCTTGGGGGCAGCAGCGTGGAAGAGTCTAAGGGGAGAGAGGAGTCTGGGTGACCGAGGAGAAGGGCTGGGCCGGAGAAGGGAAGGAAACAAAAGCAGGCCTGGTGCTGGCTGTGTGACTTCAGGTGGGCCGCCCACCTCTCTGTGCCTCAGTCTTCTCATCTGTAAAATGGGGATATTCATTACACCTGCCGCATAAGGTGGTCACGAAAATTAAATGAGTGACCACACAGGAAGTTCTTAGAACAGCATGGCACCTGGTCAGTTTGCATTTTCTTTTACAATTGGACACATAGATTTCTAGTGCTTATATATCGATTTGTTTATTCTTCTTTTCCCTCCCGTGGGCTGTGAGCTCCCTGTGGGCACCAGGGACCTTCTCTGTCTTATTTATTGGCAGAACCTACTACTTAGCACTCATTAAATAATATTATAATAGCTCAGTTTCACACATTAAATATTTGGCCAAATGACAAATTGACAAATAATAAAATAGTCAAAGATACCCCCCAGTTTTGTTCCCTCTATACCCTCACCCAGCTGCTCTCTTTTCCCCTCGCTTGCTGGACTCCCGGCACATGTGTCTCTTCACTGTTCCTTAAACAGGCTTCTGCCTCAGGGCTTTTGCACAGGCGGTTCTCTTGTTCGCAACTCTCAGTACCTCTCTAGCCACCCACCTCACACCATGATTCCATCACCCTGTGGTAATTTGCCTGCATGGGGCTCATTACCCTCAGATATTTTCCTGTTAATTATTTGCTCACATGTTTATTGTCTGTCGCCTCAATTAGCATGTCAGCCCCACATGTGCAAGCACTTGGATCTTGTTCTGAGTTGTGTCGCCAATGCCAAGCACCCAGGAGGTAGCTAATAAAATGCGGTCAAATGAATGAATAGTCATAAATGTAAGTACAAATGACCAATGAAGCTTAATATAGAGGGCAAAATGATCAAAAGCGTGGGGAGAAAGTGAGAAAAATAGATGGGGTGGTTTTAAATATCCCTCTCAGGGACACCTGGCTGGCTCAGTCGGTAGAGCGTGTGATTCTTCATCTCAGGATCGTGAGTTTGAGCCCCACGCTGGGTGTAGAGATTACTAAAAATAAAAATAAAAAAAGAACTCGACAGATCTAGTAACAAATACAAGGACAGAAAGCCTCCGAATGATACCACAGTAAGGTGGGGAGAATATGTACACACAGATTCAACCCTGATCCTGCCAAGAAAATTAATCTATTTTTTTCTTTTCCTCCTAAGACAGGGTCAGTTACAAAACTGGTAATGTACTTGGCCACAAAGTAAACCTTTTTTTAAAAAAATATTTTATTTACTTATTGTAGAGAGAGAGAGAGAGCACGAATGGGGGGCCAGGAGAGGGAGAAGCAGGCTCCTCGCAGAGCAAGGAGACCACCGTGGGACTTGATCCCCGGACCCTGGGATCATGACCTGAGCCGAAGGCAGATGCCCAACCGACTGAGCCACCCAGGCGCCCCAAAGTAAACCTTACTATGCTGAAAAAATCAAGTTTTCACAGGGCATAGTCTCTCATCATATTCTGATTACATTATTTCTCATTGATCCTTTAGAGCTGTGTTGAATCCCGCAGGCTTTTGCCCCATGGGGCTATTGACACGTGGTCTCTGGTGAGTCTGAATTCCCATGTGCTGTCAGTGTTAAATACACACTGGTTCCCGGAGACTTAGGGGACAAACGGATGTAAAATATCTCACTAATTTTTAAAAATACAGTATCAGGGGGCACCTGGGTGGCTCAGCCACCTGAGCGTCCCACTCTTGGTTTAGGCTTAGGTCTCAGGGCATGAGATTGAGCCCCGAGTCTGCTTGAGATTCTCTCTCCCTCTCCCTCTGCCCCTTCCTGCTTGTGCGGGCACTCTCTCTCTCTCTCTCTCTCAAATAAATAAATAAATAAATCTTAAAAAAATAATAAAAATAGGGCGCCTGGGTGCCTCAGTCATTAGGCGTCTGCTTTCAGCTCAGGTCATGATCCCAGGGTCCTGGGATCAAGTCCCACAGTGGTCTCCCTGTTCGGCGGGAAGCCTGCTTCTCTCTCTCCCACTTGCCCTGCTTGTGTTCCCTCTCTCGCTGTCTCTCTCTGTCAAATAAATAAATAAATAAATAATCTTTAAAAAAAAATACAGCATGGGGGTGCCTGGCTGGCTCGGTCTGTGCAGCATGCAACTCTTGAACTTGGAGTCGTGAGTTTGAGCCCCATGTTGGGGATAGGATTGCATTAAAAAAATAATAATAATATTAAATCTAAAATACAGTATTGGGTATGTGTTCAAACAGTACTCCTTTGGAGACATTCGGTTAAATTAAATTTGTGATCTCAATGATGAGTTATTAAGAATAATTTTAAAATTATGAAGTCCATTAACGTCATTATAAAGAACAGATTCGTGGTTGCCAGGGGCTAAGGATGGGAATTATTAGAAGGGGGTCAAGTTAAGTAGTTTGATTGTGGTGGGGATCACAAGAAGCCACACAGGTGAAAAAATTGCAAAGACACATACACTTTTACGGAGCGAATTGCGTCCCTCAAAATTCATACACGGGAATCCTAACCGCCCCCCCCACCTTGGAATGCGACCTTATTTGGAGATAGGGTTACACAGAGAATCAAGTTAAAATGAGGTCATCAGGGTGGGCCCCCCATCCCACATGACAGGTGTCCTTGTAAAGAGGGGAAATCTGGACCGTAGGCGTGCACAGAGGGAGAAGACCATGCGAGTGTGAAAATGGCCATTGACAAAGCCAAGGAGAGAGGCCTGGAACAGAACTTTCCCTCAGAGCCCTCAGAAGGAGCCAATCCTGCCCACACATGGATTTCAGACTTCTGGCCTCCAGAATCGTTAAACAAGCCACGTCTGTTGTTCCAATCACCCAGTTTCTGGTACTTTGTTATGGCAGCACTAGGAAATGAGCACGCACACAACTCGTAAAATGGGAATAAACTCTGTGGATTATATGCACGGACTGGACCCCTCTCATATTTCTGGCTTTGCTTTCGTGCTATCAGTAACGTGAAGCAAAATGCAACCCTGGGGCTGGGGAGGCTGGGTAAAGGGTGTCCAGGACCGCCCCCATACAATTTCTTTGTACCTTCCTTTGAATCTAAAACTATTCCAAAAGAAAACGTTTTAAAAACAAAACCACCAATCATTTGCTACAAAAATAACGAATGTGAAAATTACGGAAAAAAAAAGTGAATTCACTCAAAAAAAAAAACAACCAACGAAAACTTCAAAAATCTTGGTGCTAGAGAATTTGCACTTACATACGTGGCTGTCATTGTATTTCTTTCGGACAGGGCTGCCTTGGAGAAACAGGCAGGGATTATTGTTCCCTTGTCAGAGATGGGTAAACTGAGGCCCAGATAGAGGACTGAACTTGGGGGAACACACCCAAAGTCACACAGCCAGTGGGAGCAGGGTGGGGTCTGGGCTGGCCTGGGCAAAGGGGGTGAGGGGCTGTGGGATGGGAGAGGTGTGGGGTGCTGGGGGGCGCTGGGGGCCGTTACCCGGCTGACACCGCAGCTGCAGGCACCCAGAGAAATTCCTGCGAGTGATCCAGGGCTTCAAGGCCGTCAGCTGCTTGGAGGTGTCCTGCAGGAGGTGGGAGATGTTGGTCTGGACGAAGCGAAGACAGCTGGGGAGGGGCTGGGGGCAGGGGAGGGAGATGTCACCAGGGCATCACCCCCACAGTCTGCTCAGGCCAAGGGCCTTCCCTGCCTGGCAACGCCTACCAGGGCCCCGTGAGGCCTGGTTCACAGAGAGAGAGTTTGGACCCCTGCCGCCCAGGTGGCTAGGGGAGAGAACCCCTCTGCAACGCCCAGCAACAGGGCCTGAGAAATAAACTCAGAATCGGTGCACTGGGCCCACGACCCCCGCCCTCCTTCAGTGCCTAGAGAAGTGCTCTTTTCAGCAAGGGGGACCCCAGGGGGACCGGGGTTCCAGCTCCACCTCCCTTGGGTTGCTAGTCAAAAGAAATCTCCAGCAAGGCCTAGCAGAGCTTGGCTTCCAATCCCTAGGAAGGTAACTCGCTCCCCTAGCTTGTCCCCCAAGTTCAGGGCTGACCTGGAAGGCACATAAGGTGACAAAGTGTATCTCCGTGTTGACAGCCTCCAGCAGGATTTGCATCTGGTACCCGGCCACAGCTTTGAGCCGTTCCATCCAGCGCTGGGCCAGGATCAGACGCCAGAAGGCTCCACAGAGCTCGTCCTGGGAGGGACAACCCAAGCTGGGGGGGTGGCCGGCAGAGGGGGCTGGGGGCTGGAAGGGTGAGGGGCTGGGGCCGGGAGCCCTGCATCCCCCGGGGAGGAGGGGGCAGGTCAGCCAACTGGTCCCCTGAGGGGTAGTCTGTCCTTCCCACCTCTGCCCCAGCCCCTCCCATCTGTGACTCACGTCCTGCAGGTTGGAGGCGACAGTGACTGGGTAGTCCTGAAGCAGGTAATCAGACTGCGGGAGAAAACAGGGATCAGGCCTGGCCCAAGACCGGAGGAAACAGAACTATGGAGATCCAGGGGGCGGGGGGAGAGGGACCCAGAGAGAGGGGGACAGCGAGCCAGAGGGGGAGGACAGGGACCCAGAGAGAGGGGGACAGCGAGCCCCAAAGAAGGACACCTCGACGGGGTGGCTCAGTCCCAGTGGCAGAACCTGGGCCTCAGAAAGGCGCCCTGGGGAGGAAGGGACGGGGCCCTCACCAGCTTGCGGATGGTGACCGCGAAGGTGGAGGAGACGGGGCTGTGGCTGAAGGAGCAGTCGGGGGTCCCGCGCAGGCCGGGGCTGAGCAGCAGCAGGAGCAGCAGGGAGGTCTGTGGGCGCGACACGGGGGCGGGGGGGGGGGAGCGCCCTCTGTTGGCTCCACGCGCACCCCTCCCCTGGGCCCCCTCAGCCCCCACCCGTCTTCGACCCTCTTTCTCCCTTTCCAGGTTGCACTCTTTCCGGCCCAGGGCTCGGCCCCCCTCCTGGCTCCTGTGTCCATCCGGGACCGGCCTTCCCTGGTTTCCTCTCTGCCTTTATGCTGCCCTTTCTGGCTGCTCTCCCCATTTCCCAGCTGCGCCCGAGGCTCGGCTCCTGCTCACCTCGGCCGCGGGCTGTCCCTCTCTGTTCCTCCCTCCCGTTTCTGCCTCCACCTGGGTCCTGCCTTCCCCATTTGTCCCCCACCCCTGCCCACGTCCCCCTCCTCTGCCCACGTCCCTCACCCCTGCCCCTGTCCCCCTCCTCTGCCCACGTCCCTCACCCCTGCCCCTGTCCCCCACCCCTGCCCCTGTCCCCCACCCCTGCCCATGTCCCCGCCCCTCCCTGCTCATATCCCCCACCTCTGTCCATATTCCCCACCCCTGCCCATGTCCCCACCCCTCCCTGCTCATATCCCCCACCTCTGTCCATGTCCCCCACCTCTGTCCATGTCCCCACTCCTGCCCATGTCCCCTACCCCTGCCCATGTCCTCACTCCTGTGCATGTTCTCTGTGCAAGTCCCCCACCCCTGTCCATCTCTCCCTTACCCCTGTCCATGTCCCCCACCTCTGTCCATCTGTTCTCTCAGCTCTGCCCATCTTGGTACTGCTCTGCCTTTCCCCCGGCTTGTCCCCTGGGTATACGCACAGTTGGGCTCCAGGCTGGCACCAGCACTATCATCTCGGCCGAAGGCCCCTCATGCCTATGGCCAGATCTTGGAAGGGACAGAAGAGGGAGTCTCAGACCCTCACACCCCAACCCCTTCCTCACCCGCCCCTTCACCTCCCCACCCCTCCCTTGGCTCCTTGATGTGGCTAAGTTTCCGCCTCCTACTCCCTCGGGCTTCCTGCGTGAGCCCCAGTTATGGTGAAAACTCATCTCCCCTTCTAAGAACCCCGACGTCCGGTCCCCGGAACCCTCCCCAGGCCAGGGACCCAGCAACCTGACCCCCATCCCCCCTCCCTCAGCCAGGAGGGGGACCCCAGCCCCGCCCCTCGGGGACCCGGAGTCCATTTCTCCTCACGCACCAGGCTTGCCCCGGCTGGGCGTGGAAGGGGCCAGGCCGGGTGACAGCCAGAGATCGAAAGCGAAAGGAAATTTTGGGGGGCGACAGTGAGCTGGGGTGGATCTGGCTGAGGCAAGGGGCGCCACCTGGTGGTGGCAGGTGGCGGCTCACGCCGCTGAGGGCGCCTCCGCGGGACTCGCGCCCTGAGAGCCCTGAGCTGGGTCGAAGCCGGGACACAGGACGAAGGGGGAACTGCCTCCAGCCGGAAGCAATGCCCACAGGGCAAGGAGGAGGCCAGCCTGGGGCCTTCATCCTCACCTTGAATGGGGAAGGCCTGTCCGAGATGGACAGAGGCGCCAGAAGGAGGGGGGCCGAGCACTGGACGGAGTGGAATGGGACCTGGAAAGGGAGAGACAGAAGGGGGCCGGGGCGAGGAGGGGGGGGAAGGGCAGGTGAGGGGTGCGTGTGGAGCCAACAGAGGGCGCCCCCACCCCGAGCCACGCACACAGACCTCCGTACCCCTGCAGCTGCTCTGCCCCTGCCTCTGGGACTGCTCTTTCGGACACAGCCTCACCTCCACCTTGGATGTGTGGGCTAAGCGTAGCTTCTGGGGGGGCTCCAGGGATCCTTAGCTTGTATCTGCATAACTCCATCCCTGACTCTGTCTTCACCTGGCCTTCTTCTCTAGAAGCGTCTCTCCTCTGGGTGTCTCTTATAAGGACACTTGTCATTAGATGTAGGGCCCACTTGGATAATCCAGGATGATCTTAGCTCGAGATCCTTAACTTTATTATATCTGCAAGGACTGTTTTTCCAAATAAGGTCACCATATTCATAGGTTCCAGGGGTGAGGACGGGGACGTATCTTTTGGGGGCTGGGTGACCATTCAAACCACTAAGTTCCCGCCAGGCTGTTTCCTACCTCCAGGCCTTTGTACATGCTGTCCCCTCTGCCTGGGATGCTCTCCATCCACATCAGATCCTCATGGTCCTTCAAGATTCAGTGCACTCACCCATCATCAGGGAGATGCAAATCACAACTACAATGAGATATCACTTCACACCAGTTAAGATGGCCATCATCAAAGAGACAGAAGTGTTGGGGTGCCTGGGTGGCTCAGTCGGTTAAGCGTCTGCTGGTGGGAATGTAAATTGGTGCAGCCACTGTGGAAAATGGTATGAAGTTTCATCAAAAAACATAAAGAAAATTGGGGCACCTGGGTGGCTCAGTCGGTTAAGCGTCGGCCTTCGGCTCAGCGCATGGTCCCAGGGTCCTGGGATCGAGTCCCACATCGGGCTCCTTGCTAAGCGGGGAGCCTGCTTCTCCCTCTGCCTGCCTCTGTCTCTCTCTGTCTGATAAATAAATAAAATCTTTAAAAAAAAACATAAAGAAAATAATAGAACTACCATATGATGCAGCAATCCCACTTCTGGATATTTGTCCCAAGGAAATGAAATCAGTCTCTCAAAGAGGTATCTCTTTGTTCACTGCAGCCTTATTCACAGTAGCAAGATCAGGCTTAAGTGTCCGCTGATGGATGGGTGAATGGAAGAAGAAAATGTGGTACACATAATAGAATATCATTCAGCCATAACAAGAAGGAAATCCTGCTGTTTGCAATGATATGGATACATCTGGAGGATGTGATGCTAAGTGAAATAAGCCAGACAGAGAAAGATGAATATCGTAAGGTATCACTTACACGTGGAATCTAAAAAAGTCAATTCACAGAACCAGAGACTAGAACGGTGGTTGCCAGGGGCTGGGGCGTGTGTGTGTGTGTGTGTGTGTGTGTGTGTGTGTGTGCGTGTGCGCGCGCGCGCGTAGGGGAAATGGGGAGATGTTGGTCAAAAAGCACAAAGTAAGTTCTGAGGATCCAATGTATAGCATGGTGACTATAAATAACAATACTGTATTGGGGCGCCTGTGTGGCTCAGTTGGTTAAGCATCCAACTCTTGATTTCGGCTCAGGTCATGATCTCAGGGTCGTGAGATTGAGTCCTAGGTTGGGCTGCTCACTGAGCGTGGAGCCTGCTTGGGAGTCTCTCTCTCCATCTCCCTCTGCCCCTGCTCCCTCCCTCTCTCTCTCTCTCAAAAAAAAAAAAAAAAAAAAAACAAAAATCAATACTGTATTTTATATATGAAATTTCCTAGAAGTTTGTCTTTGTTTTGCTTTTGGGTATATCTGAATTTTGTTTTCAGTTTGATTGAGCTAAGAGAGTGGATCTTAAGTGTTCTCATCATGCACAAAAAGGTAACTGTGAAGGGATGGATGTGTTCATTAACTTGATTATGGTAACTATCTTACAATATATAGGTATATTAAGTCATCACGTTTTGTACACTTAAAAATCATGTTGTACATCTAAAATATGTATAATCTTTGTCAATCACACCTTAATAAAGCTGGAAAAAACCCTCAACACCCATGGCACCTTCCTTGGGAAGGTAGCCACCACCCCTCTTTCCCTCCCTCACCCACACACACTCAGGTTGGGTAGGGTGCCATCTCTGGGTGCCCCGAGTGCCCTGAGCTTCCTCTGTTATTATAGTACATGTCGCCTTAGCTTATGTCTGTCTTCCAGCCAAAGCTGAGCCTACCTCTCCTCTGCTCACACACCTTCTGTGGCTCCCTATTGCCCTTAGGACAAATTTCCAGCCCTTCTGCCCCCACCTGGCCCACTTTCTCTTTAACTCCTCCCTTCCCCCCCCCAACCCAAACCCTTGATAAGATCCTCAATCATCAGCTACAAATCCAGCCTGGCACGAGGCCTCCTCTGGGTCCACCAATGTCCTGTGTCCCCTCCATAGTTGCACAGATTATGGGTCTCCCTGACACAGGCTGGGGGCTTGTTGCAATGCTTCCAGCTGTGCCCTGCCCGGGCCAGGCATGCAAGAGGACCCAAGGGATATGTCTTGTTGCATCAGGCCTGGCAAGTGTCACTTGTGGCCCTGGCTGGGTCACTGCGGGAGCTTGGCCAGCCCCTTATCCTCCCTAAGCCTCAATTTCTTCAACTCCAAACTGGGGGCTGAGGTGGTAAATGAGAAAATATAAGGTCCCTTCCACATCTGTGCTTCTCTGAATCTCTTGCTTGGCCACCCCATCCGCCGGCAGTCCTTCCCTGCAGGAGTCCAGGACCCCACCTTGTGTGACTCAGGCATGGTCACATGACTCACTTTGGCCAATGAAATGAGAGTGACAGTGACAAGCGTCACTCCTGGGTGAGGATTAACGGGGTAGGGAGTGGATCTCTAATGGCAAAAGCCATGTTGAATCAGGGCTCCATCCGCCTAGATCCCTGTGTGGCTCTGATGAACAGAGGGCCCCTGCCACCCCTGATGGACAAGTAGTGTGAGCAAGAAATGAACTTTGTGAGGGGCGCCTGGGTGGCTCAGTCGTTAAGCGTCTGCCTTCGGCTCAGGTCATGGTCCCAGGGTCCTGGGATTGAGCCCCGCATCGGGCTCCCTGCTTGGCGGGAAGCCTGCTTCTCCCTCTCCCTCTCCCACTACTTGTGTTCCCTCTCTCGCTGTGTCTCTGTCAAATAAATAAAATCTTAAAAAAAAAAAAAAAAAGGAATGAACTTTGTGGTTATCAACCACAGAGGTTTGAGGGTTGTTACTGCAGCAAAGCCTCACCCATCCTGTTATACCATCCATCTCTGCTCCCTGCCCTCTTTGCCTCACTTCGTGTTCAGCCTGGTTTAGCTCCCTTGTCCCACTGAACAGATGTTTCTCAATTATTCACTTGTTTTCAATCTGTCCCCTTGTGGTGGGCAGAATAATGGTCCCTCAAGACGTCCACTGGAACCTGTCAATGTTCTCTCACATGGCCAAAGGGCCTCTGCAGATATGACTTAATTATCTTGAGATGGGGAGATTATTGTGGGTTGAGTGGGTCCAATGTCATCACAGAGGTGTTTGTAAGTGAAAGAGGGAGGCGAGAGGATCACAGTCAGAGCGATGCCATGAAAGACCTGAGTGGCCACCGCTGGCAATGAAGAGTGATGCAGGGGGGCGCCTGAGTGGCTCAATCGTTAAGTGTCTGCCTTCAGCTCAGGTCATGGTCCTGGGGTCCTGGGATTGAGCCTGCATCCAGGCTCCCTGCTCAACAGGGAGCCTGCTTCTCCCTCTGTCCCTTTTGCCCCCCCCCACCCCCCGCTGGCGCTCTCTCTCAAATAAATAAATTCTTTAAAAAAAAAAAAAAAGAGTGGTGCAGGTCAAGTGCCACGGAAAGCAATTCTCCCCTTGGGCTCCAGATAGGAACGCAGCCCTGCTGACACCTTGATTTTCGCTAAGACCCATTTCGACGTCTGACGTCCAGGACTGAAAGATAATGCATTTGTGTTGTTTTACTTAAGCCACCAACTTTGTTATAGCAGCCACAGGAGCCTAATACACCTGTCGCCCGCCAGCACATCGGCTCCTGAGGCCAGGCGGTCTTGCTCCCGGCTGCTTCCCCAGCACCTAGAACAGCGCCTCACTCACAGCGAGCGCTCAGTGGGTATCTTCTCCCGGACTGGACCGCGGCACAGGCCAGGAGCTCCGCCCCCCCACGCAGAGATGATTGGCTCAGAGGCAGAGGCCTGACCCAGGCTGGCCAATCAGATTTCCTCTCCCCGGATGCAGCCAGACACTTGGCTCTGTTCCGGGCTGGGGGGTGTGTGCACCTGGAGGGCTGTTGCCTTTGACTGGTTAAAGCAACAGCGTTACTAGGAAGGACACTGAGGCAGCCCATGGAATCCTGCAGGGAACTGTCAAACCACAGACAGGAACTAGAGCCTTCCAGGGACTTTCCTCCAGCTCTCTCATTCTTGTCTTTCCTCTCCAAACGTCCAGATCCTGGGAGAGGTAGTTATTCCGCCCAGCCTTAGTCAGATCCTGACAGGAGGCTGGCTGCCTATTCTCAAATTTGCCTCACGACAGAATCAATCTCTAATGAACAGCGAACAGTCATAAAGCGTGTCCCGTTCGCACATCGAATCAACCAGCCTGGTTGGAACTGTTAGTCCCATTTTACAGATGAGGAAACAGGCTCAGAGCAGTGAAGAAACTTTCCTAAAGTCACATCGCTGAAAGAGGTGCAGGTAGGGATAGAAAACTCCAGAGATGGGGCGCCTGGCTGGCTCAGTCAGTGCAGCATCCGACTCGATCTTGGGGATATGAGTTCGAGCCCCATGTTGGGTATAGAGATTACAAAAGAAAAGAAAATTAAAGAAAAGCCCCAGAGATCAAAGAGAAAGAAAAAGAAAAGGAAGAAGGAAAGACCCCAGAAGTCACGTGCCCACAAGAGAAAGGACCAGTCCTGGTTCTTGCCTACTTTTGGGTTCTCAGGACCTGGGGCCCCTCAGATGCATGTCTTGCCCTATTTTCTGTAAGAGGTCTCTGTAGCCTTCCAGAAATTTCCCTCTTATCCTAAGCTAGTGTGAATGGCTTCCTGGCATCCAAAAGGACTCTAAAACAGGGATGTGCTGGAGCCGCTCAGATTGGCTCATGGGAATGGACTGGTAAAAATTCAGGAATTCTATCAGCCTGTTTGTTGTTCACTCATCTGGAGCTGGAAACCCGACATGGTGGAAGCATTTACACCATGGGAATTGGCAAATGTTACTTACCAGGGCCTTTATTTTATTCCAGAGAGCCATTGTGCTTTATTTTATACCAGCACACCACAGATCCTGAAACAACGCATTGCCAGAGAAAGTCAAAGAGCGAGAGCCTCAGGATGGAGAAGACCAGGGGGGGAACAAGAGGCCCTGGGGCCCTGCCCAGGGTTTCTCAGAGTTCCCTTTATCTGTTTCACAAACACTGTGTTGTACTGGAGCCAGCCCACCCGGCTGCTGCGTCTCAGAACTCAGATGGCCTCAAGCAGACCAGAAGTTGCTACTCCCCCACTTCCTCCCCTCAGAAGCACAGCCAAGGTTGGTCAGAGTTTATTGGAGGGCATGGGAGTCATAATAAAAGAAAGTTCCAGGCTTCTGGTGTCTGTCAGGGTCCATCTCTCCTCTGGCCAAGACGCAGCGGGTGGCACTTGAGCATCAGTCCCCCATGGGCAGCCACAGGGCCTTGGTCCGTGCTGCCCGCAGCCCCAGCTCTGCACCTGCCCCCTTGGCCTCCTGATCCCAGGCCTGAGGGCAGCCCCGGTTCACCCACACCGGCTTCAGGTTTCCTGCTGAGGCCCACTCCACAAACTGGGAGCCCTGGCATGAGAAGAGGGGGATCAGCACTTCCATCAGCTTGGTCACCAAGCAGCTGTTTCCTTGGCAACAAGGACTATTACTGAGGGGACTGCTGGCTTGACCTAGGCTCTGTTGCTACAATGCTCAATCTGTAGTCGGCCGACCTTCCAGATGCTAAGGGAAACAAGGCTGACCTTTGTGTCTAGGGGATTTCCTCCCCATTAACTGCCCACGTTCAAAGGAATGGGGCCTGATGTTCTTGGTGACAAGGAGTTTCCGTTACCATCAGGAGGGTGGACTGCGGGCCTCTGGTTCTGCTACCAGGGTGTGGTCCTTAACAACGGGTCATCCAGTGAGATGAGGTCTTGGGCCGGGTGGGAGAGGAGGCCCTCGCTGCTATGCTAAGGAGATCCCCTTCCTTAGCAACCGGGGGTCTGAAGGGGCAGGATCTCAGAAACTGGTTGCCAAAGAGTCTCTCCTCCCTAGCAACAGGAGCTCTAGGGGGCACTGCCCTGATTCTAGAAAAGGACGAGGCTGTCGGTGAGGTTTGAGATGCTGAAGAGACAGCAAAGCAAAGGGTACCTGGGCAGATCCGAAGTACCACAGGGCCTGGACGTCCTGGTGCAAGGCCAGGCAGCGGGTCAGGTGGTCCCGGTCACCGGTCACCACATTCACCAGGCCGGCTGGCAACAAGGCGGCCATATCCTAAGGGACGGCAGAGAGGATTGGGCAGGAAGGGCGTCAGAGACCCTGCAAGCAACAGGCTGGGTGAGCAGTGAGCATCTGGGGAGGACCCTTGGGGCTCCTGGAAGGAATGGGACCTGGGTCATGACTGGCCAACGCTCAAGGCCTGGACAGAATGGTCCCGGGGTCCATGAGCAGTGCAGGCTTGGACTGGGGGTGGGGGACGGGGGTTACCACGGTTACCAAGGGGGTGGGTCAAGTGCAGGCCCCGGGACACCTTCCATCCATCTTCTGGCCCCGGGGCTTTGGGAACTGTACCTGGCAGACCTCCAGGGCAGGGATGGGACAGGCCCCGCTGGGCACCATGACCACTGTGTTGCCGTGGGCCAGTGCGGCGGCCAGCAGGGACACGAAGGCAAGCAGGGGCCATTCGTCAGGGCACACGATGGCCAGCACGCCCAGCGGCTCCCGTAGCCGGAGCACGGGGCCCTTCAGCTCTGCCACCTGTGGGGACAGGCGGGCACAGGAGCCTCGTCATCTGCCCCTTTCCCCCTCCCCCCACCTCCGCTTCTCCATAACAACTCCGAAGAGGATTCATCGGGTGATAGTGCAGAGCAGACTTGAGCCAGACTGTTGGCTCTGCCACTCACCAGCCGTGTGACCTTGGATGTGACCGTGCTTAACCTCTCGGGGCCTCAGTTTCCCATCTTTCAAACGAGGCTAATGATGCTTACCTCAGAGCTTTGTTGTTAAAATGAAATAAGTGACTATGTGTAGAGGGCTCAGAACCTGGCCGGTGGGTTTGTTTCTGGGTGCGTGTGTGTTTAATTTTTTTAAACTTTACTGAATACAACTGACATTTACTAAACTGCATGCATTTTAAAGAGTACATTGATAATATTTTTTTTTTTTAAAGTAACTCTACGCCCAACATGGGGCTTGAACTCATGACCCTGAGATCGACAGTTTTATGCTCTACCAACTGAGCCAGCCTGATGCCCCCAATTTGGCAGGTTTGGACATTTGTATGTATTGGTGAAACCATCACCACAATCAAGATAATGAACTTCACTCCCCAAAATCTCCTTGTGCCCCTTAGTGATCCTTCCCACCTGACTCTATCTGAACCCTCTCTGTCCTCAACCACTGATCTGCTTCCGCTCACTATAGATTAGCATTTTCTAGAATTTTCTAGATACGGGATCATATAGTCTCTGCTATTTTTTTTTTTTTTTTAAAGATTCTATTTATCCATTTGACAGAGAGACACAGTGAGGGAAGGAACACAAGCAGGGGGAGTGGGAGAGGGAGAAGCAGGCTTCCCGCGGAGCAGGGAGCCCAACGCGGGGCTCAATCCCAGGACCTCGGGATCATGACCCAAGCCGAAGGCAGACGCCTAACGACTGAGCCACCCAGGCGCCCCTCCGCTGTTTTTTTTTATTTGGTTTCTTTCACTCAGCATAGTCCTTTTGAGATTCATCCACGGAAGAGCCTGTTCACTCCTGAATGCTGAGTAGGATTCTACTGTTTTGGGTGTAGCACACTTTATCTATTAACCTACCAAAGAATGTTTGGATTACTTCCACTTTTTATTTTATTTATCATATTTATTTGTTTTAAAAATAAACTCCATGCCCAACGTGCAGCTCAAACTCACTCCCCTGGAGTTCAAGAGTCACATGCGCTACTGACTGAGCCAGGCAGGCGCTGCTAGATTGTTTCCAGTTTTCAGCTGCTATGAATAATGCTGCTATAAAATTTGGATGTAAATCCTTGTATGCATACATGCTTTTACTGTTCTCAGATTAAAACCTAGGAATTAGGGGCACCTGGGTGGCTCAGGTGATTGGACGTCTGACTCTTGGTTTAGGCTCAGGTCATGATCTCAGGATCGTGAGACCCAGCCCCGTGTCAGGCTCCATGCTCAGTACAGAGCCTGCTTGAGATTCTCTCTCCCTCTGCCCTCCCACTCGTGTGCTCTCTCTCTCTCTCTCTCTTCCCAAGTCTGGCTCACTCCCAAATCCTTGCTCTAACCCCTACCCCAGGCTGTCCGAGCTGTCTGCCGGCCCACAGAACCCTCTCACCTGCAGGACGTGGCCTTGGGCCTGGGCACGGGCGCCCCATGCCCGAAGCTGCCTCGTACTCAGCTCTACCTCCACCTTGGCGTCCTTGAGCTCCATGCCGTGCCTCTCCAGCCTCGAGGCGAGGGCAGACTCCCGGCGCTCCAGGGCAGTTGCCAGGGCCCACAGCAGAGTTGCCCGGGCCCCTGGTGACTGGCCCACCCAGCTGTGTGTGTGGGGAGACACAGCACAAATTAGGGGTCAGCTTCCTGGTCCTGGCCCTTTCTAGATGTCCCTGCTCTGTTGGCAGCCCCTATGATGGGGCTCCAGGCCCCATGGCCCATCTGCCTGGGGAGGGGAGTAAGGGGGGTGACCTGAACCCCGTCAGCCTTGGGAGCTCGGACTTCATAACCCACTGGTCCTCGGGACCCAGACCCCACACGCCATCAGCCCGTGGGGGTCTCAGACCACCCTCTCTAATGTCCCATGACCTCTGGGTTTTCCCACATGATTTCCCTTACCCAGAGACAGCCTGGTGAGCGGCCTCCACAGCCCCTCGGATGTCCTTGGCTCCGCCCTCAGCCACATAGCCGTGGAGATTGCCTTGTGAATCCTTGATGGGTCTGGAGCTCCGGGCCCCAGGAGCTTGGAAACGGCCGCCGATGAAGAGCCCATAAGGGGTTGCTGGGCTGGAGCAGGGTGAGGTGTGGGGGTGGGTCCGGGGCCAGGTCCACTCAGACCCCATGCTCCACCCCACTGAGCCTCTGGGAGAGCACAGTCCTTCATTTAGCAGAACTGAGACTGTCCTTAGGCATAGGGGCTGGCTGTGGAGCCACAAGACCCAGAATGCAATTCTGGGCAGCACCCAGGGACCCCTCAAGATAGCTCTAATGACCACCCCCCACAGTCCACGGGGAGCCTGCCACAACTTTCCTTCTCCCCTTCCACACCCCCAGGGATTCTCACAGTTGCAGCCCCTGGGACAGCTCACCTGGGTCCTATTTCGGGCCCAGCTGGCAGGGTTGAGGGGACAGCAAGGCCAAAGGTGTCATAGTTCAGATTCTCAGAGAAGTAAGACAGCCGGGCGGGGGTCCCTGAGGGCCGCAGATACTCATACAGACCCTGGAAGAGGAGCAGTTTCAAAAGGGCACAAGTGGCTGAAGGGGGTGATGACGGGGCGGAGGAGGGGTGCACTCACGTCGGGGCCCCCGTGCCAGGAAGACCCACTCTCCTTGCAGCCACCCGTGGGCACTTCAGCATTTCGCAGGCCGTGGGCATTGATCCAGACCGTGCCCACCTGGAGCCTGCAGGGGGAGAGGGGGACGTGAGCAAGAACGCAAAGTCGCAGGGGGCCGGGAGTCAGGGAGGTGCGGTGGGCAGAGACCCCGAGAGAGGGGGATGGAGGCCTCCAGACTGAGGGGAAGAGCAGAAGCTTGGGCCCCCCAACAGGCTGCCTCCTGTGCCCCGGTGGGTGCCGACTGACCCATAGCCCAGCTCCAGGGCCTGCCCTAGTCTCTCGCTCCACACACTGGCACTGGCTCCTCGGGGCGTCCCATTGGCCATGGCCAGGGCCTCCTTAGCTGTACGGAATGGGGAGGCCACGACCACGGGCCAGGGCACCTGGAAGGGGGGATGATGGAACTCAGGTGGCCTGGCCAGCTCCTCTCTCCAACATCCCAGCCATTAGCGGAGCAGCGTACAGTAGTTAGCAGCCCCCAAACCCAGACCCAGGGGTCACCCCACTGGGGCCTCTGCAGACGCAGTGTTGCTGCTCAGGTCTGGCTGCAGATGGGTGGACGGAATAGGATCTCCAGGGCCCTAGAGGGCTCACCTCTGCCTGGGTACATGGGGAAGCCGGGGGCAGGTCAGAGACCAAAGTTGGGGGGAAGAATGGGCTGTCACCAGCCTGGAAAACCTGAAGAGAAAGAAACAGATCAACAAGTTCACTTCTAGCCCCTCCTCCCTCAGACCCAGGAGCCCAGGCCCAGCCCCTCCTCCCTCAGACCCAGGAGCCCAGGCCCAGTCTCCCCTCCCTCAGACCCAGGAGTCCAGGCCCCCAGCCCCTACTTCCTGAGACCGAGGAGCCCAGGCCCCCAGCCCCAGCCCCTACTTCCTGAGACCGAGGAGCCCAGGCCCCCAGCCCCCTCCTCCCTCAGACCCAGGAGCCCAGGCCCCCAGCCCCCTCCTCCCTCAGACCCAGGAGCCCAGGCCCAGCCCCTCCTCCCTCAGACCCAGGAGCCCAGGCCCAGTCTCCCCCCCCTCAGACCCAGGAGTCCAGGCCCCCAGCCCCTACTTCCTGAGACCAAGGAGCCCAGGCCCCCAGCCCCCTCCTCCCTCAGACCCAGGAGCCCAGGCCCAGCCCCTCCTCCCTCAGACCCAGGAGTCAGGTCTCCAGGTCTCTCCTCCCCTGGCACCCTGGAGGCTGTGCCCCTTGCTCACCTGTGCGCCCTGACTCCGGGCCTCATGCACATAGTGCTGGGCCAGGGCACGTGCAGCAGCCCCTCGAGTCCCCATGTCCACGGCCCCATCCAGTCCTCGACCGCCCCGAAGCCGCGCCATCCGCTCCTGGAGCCGCCTCATCGTCTCTTCCCACACAGACTCCTGGATGAGGAGCCTGAGTCCCCCCTGTTAGGAAGAGGGATGTCAGGGCAGGCAAAGTCAGGGCCCGCCTTGAGTGGACAGGATCCCAGAGAGGCCGGGGCGTGGGGACGTACATACACATGTCAGAGGAGGGTCAAGGAGCAGTGGCTGGGAACCCTAGAGACCCACCAGGGCTCCACATCCAGGCAAGAAGTGAAGTTACAGAAGCTGGTGATTCAGAGTGAAGACAAAGGTTGGAAAACTAGGGACACGCACACTCAGAAAAGTGGAGAGAATCTTTAAGAACAAGAGACGTGACCCCCTACGGAAACAGGACAGCGGGATGTGGAGATTCAGAAATCAGAGATAACGAGGAGCCCCGCAGAGAGAGGATGTGAGACACAAAGAGCTGAAAATTACAATCGATGGAGAGAAACGAGGCCCTGAGGTCTGGAGACGGACACGCACGACCCCCGGGACTTGGGGGCCCACGGGCACACGGGCCTTACCGCGCTGCGGTCGGACCAGGCTGCATCCACGACGCCCTCCACGGCCGAGTCCACGTCCGCCGCCTCCGTCAGCACCAGCAGCGAATCAGCCCCCAGTGCCAGGCCCAGCTCGGCACCCTTGCCTGCCAGGGTCCGCCGAAGGGCACGTCCCTCCTGCAGGAGCCCCGCCAGATTCAGCCAAGAGAGGGGCCTTTGGGCCTCCCAGCCACATCCTGTCCCCCTCCCAACCCCAAAGATACCTCGACGGATCCACAGAAGGTCACCTTCTGGACTCTAGGATGGGAGGCCAGGACAGGGCCCAGGGAGGCAGGGCCACTGATCACATTGAGGATTCCTGGGAACGAGCCTAGCTCCCCTGCCAGTTGGGCCAGGAGGAGGGGTGTCGGGGAGGCTGGCGGCACAAGGACCACCACAGTGCAGCCTGGAAAAGGTGGGCGGCTCAAAGACCCTGGAGTCTGGGCCCCCAGCCCTCTTCTTCAGACCCAGGGGTCCCAGCTCCTTCTTCCATCAGACCCAGGAGTTAAGACCCCCAGCCCCTTCCTCCCTCAAACCCAGGAGTCCAGGCCCCCCAATCCCTGCTCCTTCAGACCCAGGAGTCCAGGACCCCCAGCCCCTCCTCCCTCAGACCCAGGGTCCAGACCCCCAGCCCTTCCTCCCTCAGACCCAAGGCTCCAGGCCCCCAGCCCCTCTTCCCTCAGACCCAGGAGCCCAGGCCCAGTCCCTCCTCCCTCAGACCCAGGAGTCCAGGTCTCCCAGACCCCTCCTCTGTCAGACCCAGCCCAACAATTACCCACAGCCAGGGCAGGGCAAATCCTATACATCATCTCAAGGAAGGAGAACATGGGTGACAAGATGAGACCGATTACTCCTGTAAGAATAAATAAAGGGACTGTGGCACGTACTGCTAGGTCATAAGGGAGGAAGGGGCTGGGGGCCAGGACTCCTGCTTCTCACCCACGGGCTCCCAGCCTGCCAGCTCCTCTTCCTGGGTGTACGCCTGGACAGCATGGTACTGGAGCAGCTGCTGGGCCAGTGGGACATCCCCGTCTCGAACCTCTCGTACGGCTCGCCCGGAAACCAGGGACTCCAGTGTCCACAGCAGCCGCTGGTGCTTCTGGATCATCTTGGCCAGTCTGCAGAGAAAGCCAGGGGGAGAGTCATTTCCCACTGCCCTTCAGTCACACAGTCCTGGGACACCCCCTACGTACTTGGACTACAATCCCTACGATCTCCTGGGGCGCATCCCCGTCATTTACCAGGGGTGGAGAGCCCCCCAAAGATTTATGGGAAATGTAGTCCGAGAACCACAAAACCGGAAACGGCCATGTGAAGACTGTGGCCACCAGCGACCCCCAAAGGTGCTGCGAAATTCAAGTTGAACCTCTAATCTCAATTGTTCTTTCAGAAAATGGAAACTTTGTCTCTAGTTGCCCCAAGAGTATGCTGGAAAATGGGCACTGGGGCCAGGAAAATGGAGCCTCGATGAGCCCCGGGGCTATTCTGGGAAACAGCTTTCTCATCACCAGCCCCGGTGTATGATTTTTTAGCTGCTAAAGGCTCGAAGGCATGCCGGTCATAAGCCTTAGCTACAAGTAATTCAGCAAGATATCGGGAAATGGAGTCTTTGTTCCAACAGTCTCAAGTGGGATGCTGGGGGATGGAGTCCTTCCCCACCTCCCAAGGCCCACACCTCAACTGCGTCACCTGAGCAGGTGCTGAGCCCGAGAGGCTCCAGGGAGTCCACTCCAGTTCTCGAACGCAGTCCCTGCTGCCTCCACGGCCACGGCCACATCCTCAGCCTGTGCCTGGAGGCAAGTGGCCAAGCTCTCTCCTGGGGAGATGAATGGAGGGAGCCCATGTCAGAACTGGAGGGGGCTAAGATTTCCAGAGCCCGGGTGCACCCCAAGGCAGGAAAGCTGGTCCCCAGCCCCGCTCTATTATAACCCTATTGGTCGTTGCTCTGGCTGTCTCCCGTAATCAAGGAAGGGATCTTAGTGGAGTGACTTCAAGAAGCATTCACAGGGACTTGGAGTCGTAATTAGGATGACTGCTAACAGGAAGAGCCAGCAATCCTGGCCTTCTTCCCCCACTGGCTACTCCCTGGCCTCAGGGTCCTGAGCAAAGGGAATGGGGTGTTGTTGTTGGTACAGCTGGGGGTATAGACGCCTCTCCCTACCCTAGCAGCTGGGGGACACCTCATACCTGTGATGGGATCCTGGCAAGGCACTGAGTTCCTGTGTTCTGGCTTTAACCACTTCCCGTTTACATAGTGACCCAAGTTTCGGTCCTGGGTGTCCAGCCAGGCCTGTGGGAGGTGAAGACAGTTTGGAATGGGGTCTGGGAGGCAGCTGGGGGAGGTCAATTCCTGCCTAGAATCCTCTGGGAGAGGAACACCTGCACCCCTTTGCCCCCCCGCTAATTCTTCTCCTGTGTAGAAGGAAAATAACCCATAAACGTAAAATACAGTATAACCTAAAACTCATCACGTTAATCATTTTAAAGTGTAGTATAATTCAACGGCATTTAGGACGTGCCATCATCACCACAGTCTCGTTCCAGGACATTTCCATCCCCCCCAAAGGAAACTTTGTATACATTAGGCAGTCACTCTCCCTTCCCCCTGCCCCTAGCCCCTGGCAACCACTAATCTGCTTCCTGTTTCTGTGGATTTGCCTACTCTGGATATTTCACAGAAACGGAACCTTACAATCTGTGACTTTTTTGGCTGGCTTCTTTCACCCAACATGCTGTTTTTGAGGTTCATCCAGTTGTAGCATGTATCAATACTCCATTCCTGGGGCGCCTGGGTGGCTCAGTTGGTTAAGTATCTGACTTTTTTTTTTTTTTTTAACTTTATTATGTTATGTTGTCATCATACATCACATCACTACTTTTTGATGTAGTATTCCACGATTCATCGTTTGCGTGTAATACCCAGTGCTGCATTCAATACGTGCCCTCCTTAATACCCATCACCGGGCTAACCCATCCCCCAACCCCCCAAGCATCCGACTCTTGATTTCAGCTCAGGTCATGATCTCAGGGGTGTGAGATCGAGCCCCGCATTGGGCTCCATGCTGGGCGTGGAGCCTGCTTAAGATTCTTTCTCCCTCAGCCCTTCCCCGTCTTCTTTCTCTCTCTTAAAACACAGTAACAACAAAACCCCCCTTTCCTTTTTACAGCTATATAATATTCCAGTGTCTGGATAGGCCACGTTTTGTTTATCCATTTATCACCGGTGGATGCACATTCGGTTTGTTTCTGCCTTTTGGTTATTGTGAAAAGTGCTGCTTAGAACATGCACGTACAAGTTTTTGTTCGAACACCCATCTTTACTTGTAGGCATTTGTACCCAGGATGGCAATTGCTGGGTCATATGACAACTCCAAGAGTGACTTACGGAGGAACCGCCAAGCTGTTTTACATTCTCACCAGAGATATGCGAGGGCTGTCCTACTGACACTGCTTCTTTTTTTTAAAATTTGACAGAGCGTGCGAGCCAGCACAAGCAGGAGGAGCGGGAGAGGGAGAAGCAGACTCCCCGCTGAGCAGGGAGCCATTACTGGGGTTCGATCCCAGGACCCCGGGATCATGACCTGAGCCGAAGGCAGACGCTTAATCCACTGAGCCACCCAGGCGCCCCTGTCCTACTGACTTTGAAATGTGGCTTAATAAAACCCTTTCTCCTCCGTGGAGAAATGACCTCAGGTGAACTTCCTATTTCTCAAGACACCTGAGACAACCCAGCTGCATTACCAGGCAACAATGACTCCTGAATGGTCCACCGCACCTGACTGGGAAAACTGGGAACACGCCATAAGGATCCAATGGGAAGCCAGGGCATTGGGGCTTTCTGGATCGCTCTGCATTCCTGTGATTGGGTACATACCTTGTCACAACCCTGGAGGCAATGCCCATGACACTGTTCTCAGGCAGTATCAGGTTCTTTTTGGAAGGTGGGGCTTCTAAGCCAGGTGGCTCCCACACCTGGCCGTGTGATGGCGTTCCCTCCCACCTCTGTGGTCGTCACTTCGGGGAGCAGTATGGACCCCCGCTGAAGACACAGGCCTGCCAGGCACAGCCTAATTTGACTGTGACATGTCTACCTGAGCCCAACGCAGAGCATACAGACATTGCAAATGGGACCGAGTCTCTGGAGCTAGGATTTTGAATCTTGGCTCTGGTATTTATTGTGCAACCTCAGCCAAGGTGTTACAATACTCTGGGCTCGGCTAAGCCATCTGGAAGATGGGGATAATCACAGCCCCTCTCTACTTCACAGGGCTGTGGTGAGGATTAAATGCTTCAATGCACATTATATACTCAGAACGGCCCTATGTAGGATTGCCTCTTAATCCCACTGCACCTCGCTCTCCACGTCTGCTCTATGTCTCTCTCCCTGTCTTTAATCTTCCTTAAATCCTGGCAAAATCCGAGACATGCTTCCCACTTTTTCCTTCTACAACTGCTCTCTTCTTAGCATCTCAAAGCCACTTCTCCTGATTTTCCTATTACCCTGCCAACTGGCCCTTCTCCTTTTTCTTTGAAGTCCAATGGTGAGTCAGAAGTTTCCAATTCAAATACCCCCAGAGAAAGACACATTTTGGAAACAGTTGGGCGTGTATGAACATGAGCTGGACATTGGATGATATTAAATAATGACCACTGAGATGCCTGGGTGGCTCAGTGGGTTAAGCGTCTGCCTTCGGCTTAGGTCATGATCTCAGGGTCCTGGGGTCAAGTCCCGCCTCGGGCTCCCAGCTCAGCGGGAAGCCTGCTGCTCCCTCTGTCTGCTGCTCCCCCTGCTTGTGCTCTCTCTCTCTCTCTCACAAATAAATAAATAAAATCTAAAAAAAAAAAAAGATCGCTAATGTGAAGTGTGAAAAGTGGCTAGGTGGGGGCGCCTGGGTGTCTCAGTCGCTTAAGTGTCTGACTCTTGATTTCGGCCCAGGGCTGTGAGATCGAGCCCCTTGTTGGGCTCCGTGCTGGGTGTGGAGACTGCTTGATTCTCTCTGCCCCTCCCTCTGCTTGCACACTTGCTCGAGGCCTCTCTCAAAAAAAAAAAAAAAGCCTAGGTGGTTATGGGAATTCAAATATTTCTGGGAAGCTAACACGACATCTGGGATTTAAATCATTCCAGAAAAAAAAGAGAAAACAACAGAAGACATTGGACCAAATGTTGACCATTCCTGAAGCGGAGGGATAGGTAAGTAGCAGTATTAACGACTCCGTGGAAGTTTGCAAACTCCTCCCGCCCAAGAAAAACAAAACCCTAAAGGAATGTCCACAGGGTCCTGGCAAGTCATGTTAGTGTGAGAAGAGGGGCTGGTGGAGACTGGGAACTCATGACTTGCCTAAAAAGACCGCCACTATTGAATCCAGATGATTTTTGTCAGGGAATATAAGGCAAACATTGCCAAATTTTGGGATTTTATTTTCAAAAGAAGCTGGAATCCTCCTGGGTGTTTACAGGGAATTAGTTGACCACGAATTCACATTTTCAAAAATAAAGTACAGGCCAAAGAAAACAGTTTGTTGGTCGAGTCTGGCCCACACATTGGAAGGTTGAGACCTTTGCTTGGGAGGCGGTGGGGGAACCATGGGCTGTGGAATCCGGGGGCTCAGGTTCAAATCTCAGCTTCACCTCTTTTAAACTGTGTTGACCATAGGAAAATTGCTTACCCCTTTCAGCCTCCGTGTGCTATCACTAAAATAATGACAATAATCCCCTCTCGCAGCTGTTCTGGGGATTAAATGAGATCACACTGAGGGCACACAGAGAGCTCCCAATAAATATAAGCTATGATCACATTATTGCTATTTCAGTATATTCCATCTCTAGCCAACCTCCAAGTGTGGGAATTGTCTGTTCTCTGACCTAGATCCTCATTCCCACAGTTCAGCTATATTTCTACACTGGTGACTCCCAGGTCCCTGTCTCCAGACCTGAAGGCTTGAGCCCAGGTATCGTTTGACGACTGCACAAGCCCAAGCCTGTCCCCGGGTCCCTCACACTCTCACCATGTGATAACCAAACTCAGGGTCTTTCCTCGAAACCCTAGTTTTCCTGGGATCACCACTGGTGGTGGTGGGGGGGGACAGACAGAGACAGCCAGACCCCAGACACTGCCTTGTCCCCCCCAACTCCCACACCGTTCCTCTTGTATCTCTGCCTCTTCCCCTCCTAGCCATCTATCCACTTCCACAGCCCGCTCCAGGCTCTATTTTCATCTTCTTCCATTGTTCCAGCCTAAGCTTCTCATTCCTGGCTGATCCCTGTGGGATCAGGGGAGCCCCATGGAAGGAGTTCTGAGGAGCCTAGGTAATGACAGGATATTCGAAGCACCCTACTTATCCACAGGAAGCACAAGAGGTGGTCTGGGGGACCCCGAGGGATCACAGGAGCCTCATGAGGACTTGAAGAGGCGCTGAAAAATCATGGGAGCCCCACGAGGGTGGTATTCTGAGGGGCTGTAGGTGATTCAAATTCTGAGCTATCCCGAGGTTCCCAAGCTCCTAGGAGCACCGCAAGTATTGATGGGGGCCCTGAGGAACCACGGGAAGCCCCACAGGAGTTCAGGGGGTGGGACTCAGTGGGCCATGAGAGCCACAGAACGCTGTTCTGAGGAATCACGGGAAGTCCATGGCGACTCTGAGGGTCTTTGGAAGATCAAGGGCGCCCCCACAGGAATTCCGAGTCCCTGGGGATCACAGGAGGTTCGGGGGGAGCGCTGAAGAATCACAGGAGCCCCTCCGGTGGCTCGGAGGTATCGGGGAAACACCGCCGCGAAGTTCGGCGCAAGGGGTACGAGAACTACTCCGAAAACAAGGGCGGGGGGGCAGACTCAAGGGTTAAAGAAGCAGAGGCCGCAAAGGATCAAGGGAACGCCCTTCAAGGGTGGGTCCTAAAGGGGCTGCGTGAGTCACGGGAACCGAGAAGGGCGGAGCTGCTGAGCTTCCGCGGTGGATCACGGGAGTGGCGCGCCAAACGGGACCCGGAGGCCTGGGGAGGGGGATGGGCAGCGCCGAACGGCAGGCCCTCACCAGCGCGCATGCGTGGCTCTCAGGAACCGGTCCGTATTCCAGCGTGATGAAGATCTCTCGGGCGCTAGGCCTTTCGCGCGTCGCAGCCATCACCCGCCCGGGCCGCTTTCCACCAAGAAGTGCGGGGCGCTCTGCCCAGAGGCACCTTGAGGTCGAAGGGCGGCACCGCCCACTCCAGCGCAGGGGGCGGGGCTACGGGAGAGAGCGTAACCCCGCCTTGGACACGATGGCCTCGCCCACATGCCCTAGCTGGAAATGTGATTTGGAGCATGCGCAATCCTCGGAGCGAGGCGGGCGGGCGGGGACGGGAAGAAAATGCGGTGTCTTGCAAATAGTTAGCAAGGTTCCAGATTTAGAAGGGTGACCGTACTGGTGTATCTTCTCTCCACTCTGTTCATACTGAGGGCAGGAAGTTCAGCTTTTAGCCCGAAGTAAATTTACTAGAGAATCGAATCGAGCTCTGGGACGAAACGATAGGTAGGAGGTCAGAAGGGAGTCATTTTAGGATGGACGTTGAAATTAAGGTTTTGAAAGTGTGCCAGCCTGGGCTGTCCAGCAGCTTGGCCAGATGTGGTCTGGAAAGAGAAGTATAGCTTTAATCGACACAGGAAGTGTGGCATTCAGAAATTACGTTCAGGATTTAGTTTTGATTGGTTGGGGTGAGAGGCGTGGCTTCCGCCTTAGACTATGATTGGTCGGAACGTAGTGCGGTTGCCGGATTGGTGTCTGAGCGTTTGAGGTAGACGGAAGCGTGGTCCGCTGAAGGCCTTGGTTACAGAGGCTGGAAGTGTGGCTGTCGTTTACATGTTTAGCTCATAGGACTTGGAGAGCATCTGGTACTGTTGGCTCCCAACAGATTGGACAACCGTATCTGGTCTGAGTGGAATTATAGTCTCAGGCCAGATTCTTAGATTTTCATACAGGATAGTGGGTGTCAGGAGTCGGTTGTGGGTCCGGCAGCAGGCCCCACAGTTCGGATCCTGGCCAGGGTTTCCCCCCCTACGTCGGGGTTACTGAGGACGCCTAGGTCTTTTCCTCAGGGCCATGGCGGACTCGAAGCTGCTGGTGCCGGAGTTAAGCGAGGCAGAGAAGATGGGGGCTGAGACCGAGCGTTTTGAGGAGCTGCTGCTGCAGGTGAGGACTGAGCCGCTCCTGGGTCCCTGGGTGTTCGGGGGATGTGTGTGTGTGTGCGCGGCACGCGCACGTGTGTATGCACGCCCGTGGGTGCTCAGAGATGGCACTACATTCCCAGAACGCACTGCATGGAATTGTAGTTGCTTAACTCCGAAGTTTTCTAGACTCTGGAAGAAATGCAGAGTGGGGTTGGGGTTGTTCTTAGGGGTCCTCAGAGGAGGAGAGAGACATAGTATGTCCTATTTTGTGCACATCTCATATGCATAAAATTCCTCGACAAACCTTTGAAGAACAAATGAGGGTCTGAGAGCACAGAGGTGGTGGTTTTCCTTCACGCAGGCCTCCAAGGAGCTCCAGCAAGCCCAGACAAGCAGACCAGAATCTACACAGATCCAACCGCAACCTGGTGAGAAAGGCAGAAACCCAGAGAGAGGGGGATAGAGTCTTAGAGAGAGGTGGACAGAGACTGGGGGCAGGGGACACAGAGAGAGGAGGCAAGAGGGAGGCACAATAATGGGGTACAGAGGCCTTGACGGGGGTTGTGACAGAGATCCAGAGAGAGCAGGGAAGGGACCAAGATCTAAAGAGAGGAGGAGGAGGACAGGCATGACTGGGGGGACAGAGGCTCAAGGACAGAAAGAGATGCAGAGATCCCAGGGGATGGAGCGGGGAGCAGACCCAGAAAACAGAGGACTGATCAAGAGAAGGGGCCAAAGAGGGGACAGATCAAGAGAAGACCTGAGACTGAAGAGGGGATAGCTGGAAACCCAGATGCGTGCCGAGGCAGACACTCAGGACAAACCCATTTCCGCCAGGTTTCTGCATAAAGACCAACTCATCCGAAGGGAAGGTGTTCATCAACATCTGTCACTCTCCTTCCATCCCTCCTCCGGCTGACGTGACTGAGGACGAGCTGCTTCAAATGCTGGAGGAAGACCAAGCCGGGTTTCGCATCCCCATGAGTCTGGGAGAACCTCATGCCGAACTGGATGCAAGTCAGTGCCCTCGGAGGACCCAAGGATCTCGCTCCCTGGGTCCTTTCTTCCCGAGGATCCAAGATTCAGGGCCCAGGACCCTCCTCCCTCAGGACCCAGAAATCTGGCCTTCCTGACCTTATCCTTTTCTCTGTGACATATGCCCAGCTTCCTGGGCCTCTAGTACCTGCTGCACAGGACAGTCCTGGTCCTGCCCACCTGGCCAGGCTGGACTTCTCCCTGCCCTATGCCATGGTGAGGGCGAGCTGGGCAGGTGTCCTCATTAGCTGGCCAGACCAGCGCTCACTCTTCTTCCTGGTTTCCTTCCTCACCCTTCTTCCCCATCTCTCTCAGCTTTGTCTCACCTGTCTCTTTTGAGTTTCTGACTCTATATGTTTGTGTTTCAAATCACATGTGTCCCCTGAAGCCTCCTGGGACCAGGCTTTGGGCAGTGCCCTGGGGACTGATCATACCCAGAACCGGCCCTTGAGACACTCCTAGTCTTAGACTGAGGGTGGAGGGGACAGATGCGGTTTCAATATGGTATGATTTGTGCTGCTCTGATAGGGGCTCTTCACCCAAACTGAAGGGTCTGGGAAAGCTTCCTGGAGGAGGAGGTGTCAGATATAAGATGTGAAGGAACCAGAGGAGTTCATCAGGCCAAGACAGAGAAGAGGGTTCTAGGCGGAAGGGACAGAGGAGTCCAGAGGCTGCAGTGATTGAATTGGGTTGGTCAGTAATCAAGAGAGATTGGAAGAAATTTAAAGGGACCAGATCCCCCCAATGACCAGAGGGACACTGGACTGGGTCCTAGAGTAACAGAGGAGTGAGCTTATCTCCAGGGGGGAGGGGCAGACCACACAGGGTCTTGAACGCCACGCCGGAAGGACACATACCTTCCTCTGGGGCGCTGGGGAGCCATGGGAGGGCTGTGTGCAGGAAAGGGGCGAGGTCAGCGCTGGGACGTGGTGGGAAAGGACCCGAGAGGAAGAGACGAGGCTGCCATGATTCCGGACTGGCAAGTGCGAGTCTTGAGCCCTTACTTTGTAATTGTCTCTGGGTCTCTCTGGTTCTTGCGGCTGCGGCCGTTCTTGGTTTTGCCTTGTCTGTATCCGGCGGTGGGGTTCCCTGGGAGCGCTGGGGGTCTCACCCTCTTTCTCTCCCCACAGAAGGCCAGGGTTGTACCGCCTACGACGTAGCGGTCAACAGCGACTTCTACCGGAGGATGCAGGTCGGGGGCGGGGCTGCGGGTGAGGCCTGGGCCGGGGCCTCTCCCTCCACCTGGAGCCCTCCCGCAGCCTCCCTCTCTCACTCCTAGAACAGCGATTTCTTGCGAGAGCTCGTGGTCACCATCGCCAGGGAGGGCCTTGAGGACAAATACAGTCTGCAGCTGAATCCAGGTGAGGGGCGGGACTAGAGGAGCCGGAGCAGCTTGGGGGCAGCCCTTGGGAAAGGTGGGGCTAGTGTGGGCAGGGATTTTCTTCGTCCCTAGGCTGTGGATTATAGGGAGAAGGCGAGGCTTCTCAAGGTTGGGGATGTGGGCGGGGCTGACCCAGAAACCAGATAAGGGCCGGGATCTGGATAGCCAGGAGGCGGAGCCAGGAGCATCTCCGGGACAGATTTTTTGGAGGGGGCGCGGATATACCCCGGGAAGGGCAGGACTAAGGTGGGCAGATTTCCTAAAGCCAAGCTTGGGGGCGTGGCCAGATCCCTGGCATCCTTGGAGGAGCGCGCCCTTTCCCCTGAGACTCTGGCTGTCATGACCCCTGTGGAAGCAAAGGGAACCCTGACCCATGCCACCTTTGACCCCGAGCTTCCTACCCGCAGAGTGGCGCATGTTGAAGAACCGGCCTTTCCTGGGCTCCATCTCCCAGCAAAATATCCGCTCCCAGCAGCGTCCTCGGATCCAGGAGCTGGGAAACCTGTATACTCCTGACTCCCTGAGACCTGAGGAACGGTGCGCCTTCCATGGGTTCTCTCTTTCACGTTTCTCCCTCCCCATAGGAAGCAGTGTCCTGGGGGCTCTGGGAACCCAGAGAGGGGAGAAGCAGCACTCCCACCGAGAAGGATCCCCGAGGCAGCAGGGCTCAGAGGCGGGAGGAAGGAAAGGATGAGCCCTGGCAAGGACCTGGTGGGCTCTCCTCAATTTTGGGTCTTGTTCCTCCCCAGCCGCGAGAAGCCTCACCTGAACCTTTGGCTGGAAGCCCCTGACCTCCTCCTGGCTGAAATTGACCTCCCTAAACTGGTGAGTGCATGCTTGAGCAGAGCTGGAGAAAGGTCTGGAAGGGTTGGGGTCTCTGAGGGGGAGTGAGCGGGGCTCATTGCCAGACCTGTGGGAGCCTGGTGAGTCCTGCCCCCTGAGTCCAGCGGCCTGCCATGGGTCCTTCGGGCCCACTTTGGGAGCTGTCCTGAGGGTGCTTGACATTGTAAGTGCTCAGTCATGGGGACTTGTAATTACTGTCTCTCATCTTTGTCCTGGAGGATTAGGCCCTTTACATATGGTGTCCCGACACAGGAGGCTTTTCTCCCCGGTCCACCTGATTATTGCCTTGTTGCTGGGAAGGGAAGGGTGGGCTTACTTCACTCTATTCTCAGGATGGAGCTCTGGGGCTGTCGCTGGAGATCGGGGAGAACCGCCTGGTGATGGGGGGCCCCCAGCAGCTGTACCATCTGGATGCCTATATCCCCCTGCGGATCAATTCCAAGGAGAGCAAGGCAGCCTTCCATCGGAAGAGAAAGGTACCTGGGGGGCTAGGGGGAGGTGTGCAGGGAAGCGGGGGGCACTGGGGGGCCTGGACTCCTGGTCCTGAATCCTCATTCTGTTTTTCCTGTCTCTCCTCAGCAACTGATGGTGGCCATGCCCCTTCTGTCGGTGGCTTCTTGACTGGGTTTCTTTCTCTGTTTCCAGGTGGAGAGAAGAGGCTGGTGGGGGCTTCTCTGAAATTGAAATAAAAGATTTTTGCCTTTGTTCTGTGTCTGACT